CAACCTGCCCGTAGCCATCCCTCCGGCAGGCCTCCAACTTGTCCTGCCACGCCTGTCAGGGAAACGAAGCTCATCCAGTTTGTCTTGGCTTGGGAATGGGTTTCCACAGGTTTCCATGTATCATAAGAACATCCACCATGTCCACGAGCTGCTGCAAAGCTGCCTTGGTCCTTTTGTCCGAAAACTCCCGACGGCTCACGATGCAGATGTTCACGTCCGGATCGGCCACTACAGGTCCTGAGAAAAATGCCGGTGGTTTTCCTTCGTTTCAGCTCGGCCGCCGTGCTTGCGACATCGTGAAGGAACGCATAAGCTCATCCCCCCAATCCCGTGAATCAAAGCTCAGTGTGTGAGCAGCTATAGCTTCCCTACCACTCTACCGAGGATGTCCCTTTTCCTCGGTGCGTTTTCCCACCAAAGGCACGTAGTGCACTGGCGAAGGGTACCGTCACGAAGCCTTGTGACTTCCCTTTCTTCAGCCATCTCCTCAGCTCTCTCTCTCTCTCTCTACACGCTGCCGTCTGCAGCCAGGACTGCCTGTGCTTTGTGCCCCTCCATTGATGGAAAGAAGCCACATTTTTTGCAAAACAAAGCAAGCATTTAGGTCGTGTTCCTGTGCGCCTGCCATGCACTTCCTCCTGCCCTAGAGAAGGCCAAGGCACCGCAACACCAAATGCCCGGGATCAAAGTCCTGTGCACCCCCAAAAATATACACATATATATATATATATACAAAGTTAAACTGGTATGGTTTCAAGCACGCACGACTGCAAGAATGTAAAATTAGCTCTCAAATGTGTCATGCATGTGCCTGAAACCAAGACCTCTGGGACCTACTCTGCCCCGCCTGCCGCATGAGGCGCTTGACGGCGTTGATCTCTGGGAATAAATGTGGAGCCGGAAAGTCTTCCTGACAAAGGCAACAACGGCATGTCCATATTTGGATTTTCCACGGTTGCAAAACGCCCGGAGGCCCCACTTCGCATGCCAAGTCCAAGTTTCCCTTTCAGCTTCGACTTCTCTGCGCAATTGTTCCATTTTCGCAGCCTCCTCCTGACAAACAACCGCAGCGACAACAAGCGGTCATCATGGCAATATAATATGAATAAGCAATAAGGCAATAAGGGAGTCTTGACTTCTTCACTGACTTTTTTTGATTTCGAGTTCATCTCAATAAGGAAGATTACACAACAACTTATCTGCCCGCTTTAAATGGCTCTACACTAAGTGGGTTCTGCTTGAGCTGCTTGAGTGATGATCTTCGCGAAGCTCATGGTGACTAGAGCATCTCTGCACAAGAAAGACATCTCAAAAAGGATTGCGAGCTCTCTGCGTGTTCTTATTGCTTCATCCTGCACTTTGGTCTACCTCTGACCTGTCAACCTCAGAGCTTTCTGCAATGACTTCTGCGGTGACTGAGCTCAGCATCCTCCTCCATGCGTCGTTTCTCTTCTTCCTCCTCGAGGAGCTTCTGCTTCCGACTCCGTCGCGACGGGGCAACCAGGTCGGTCTGAGCAAATCAAAGAAGGCACCCAAGAGCGCTTTGTTCGATAAAGAAGTTGAGAAAGACGAATGCTGGCAATTGGAATTAGTTGGCTGCACGACCCAAGTATGGGACATCAACAGGTTTTCTGCATCAATCTGACCCAGGGGTCCGGCATCAAACTTCAAGCCACGAACGGCCGTCTTGGGCTCGATCTGCTTCGCACACGGCCCCGAAAAACACAAAGCCTGGACAGGCACAGTGATGAATGATTTGCAGGTGCTCGCATGGAGTGCCATAGGTTTGGCATAAGGAGTCACATGTGGATATATCAATGACCTGCCTGAGGTATCCTATCAGGGGAACTCGTTACTCATATGATCGGCCACAATTCAAACCATTCAGGACTCAAGCGCCATAGCATTCAGTGCTCTGCTGCAGTAGACAAGTCGGAGATCCAGCCAACTTCTATCAACAAACGAATTCCAGAAGTTGGGTTCTGTGCATTGGGCTGACTTTCTCTCAGTCAGAGATCGGCAGCACCATAGAATTTGCGCGTCCCCATACAAAGCGGAGTGCAAAAATGCCCTGTTTTGTCTCTTGGACCTTGTGCTGAGTGGGGGCAGCGATTGCCACGGCAAATTCACAGTACAGACCTCCCAAACCTGACTCTCGGAATCAACCCGTTTCACATCTGGCGTCGACCTAATGCAAATAAGTAGCTGCAGCCACAATCGAGAGGCTCAGCATCAGCAAAAGGCCTAAATGCCACGGCACACTTGTGCAGTTGCAGGTTGGGTTTCGTTCCTCAAGTCATGCATTTGTAGCACCCCAAGACCAAATGATAGTGGAGGCTCTTCTAGGCTTCCAGCCGCGACGAGCCTGCGCCCAAGCAATGACAGTGGATCCGGCCCACCGACCCACACAAAGTTTAGGTGCTCTTCCTTTTGCCTGTGTGTGTGTGTGGGATGCAGCCCGCTGGAACAGCAAATGATCTTCTTGCAACTCGAACAGCATGCAGCTCAGCACGCAGCGCCCGGACAAGCTTTTTCCATTAGTCCATTCCCTCTAAGAAACTCGACATAGAGTCGGCGTCTGGCAGCTCCTTGCAAGATGATCCAGCCACAAGAACTGACGCACAAGCCACACAAGCAAACCAAGCTCACCCATCCAGAAAAAGATGAGACCTCCAAAAAAGAAAGGACGCAAAAACAAATCAGAAGCAAATCATCTTCCGCGTCCTGCCAGCGCGGAGGAAATTTTGTTTGGCTTCTCTCTGCCTCCTGCACCATCTCAGGTGGACGGCGCGGTCCAAAGGGGCGTCGAGCGAAGCGGCCTGGAAGAGCCCAGCGGGTCCAGCGAGTGGTCCACATGGAATCGTCTAAGCGACAAATTCGCAGGCCATCGCGTTTGTAGGGTGGAGGCCATTGCTCTCAGGTTGGAGGCCATCGCCAGTAGGGTGGAGGCCATTGCTAGTAGGTTGCTGCTGACATGAATGCCAACTGGTCTATCTTGAAAGTAGGCCTTGCGTTGCAGCCTCATCTGGAATCGGACCGGCTTGTAGGGCGTCAGCACTTACCCACTCTGCAATCAGCATCTGCTCAGCGCTTGCTCCCGAACGTTGGCCTCTTATGCAAATGCAGTGACAAGCCAGATGTACAGAGGCATAAACATGCGTAAGGCGTAAATCACCTCATATCTTAGAACTCAGCACTGAGATCCCAGCAAAGCAAGCATATACTCAAGCCACGGCCAGCCTTCTCACAAAGTGACACATCACAAACTTCCTCTAGAGAACCGGCTCCATTACGACTTCTTGGCTACTCTTACAGTATATAGATAATCTTCTTACTAGCATGTCTACCTCCTCCACATGTCGCCGGCAACGCCCACAAAAAGGTCCATGGCCGCACGGTGAAGCAAAAAGATCGCCACCAACAACACTTGCCTTGGGACAATCAAAGAACGTTTCTTCAGCTTGCCAAATCGCACCAACACTTTGGATATTTGAAAAACTCCGCGCCGTGCATCTCAATGCCACCCCAGATGCTTTGCAAAAGCAACACTCAGAACGGAATGGCCCATCCTCAATCCGCACATGCTCAGATCATGGACAACTGGCATCGCCCTCCTCCAAAGAAACGAGCAGAAAATGGCACCCCACGACAAAACTACTAGCAAGTGGTTACGGAACTCCCTGTAGCTCCTGCGCTCTGTTGAAAAAATCATAAACTAGCATAGACCCCCAAACAGCTTAGTTGGGGGACAAGAATAGGACAAGAGGAGGACACAGGAGCGCGGCCAGGGGACAACTGCAAGCACCAGATGGACAAGAGGAGGACAAGAGGAGGACACAGGGTTGGCCAGCGCCAGGAGGACAAGAGGAAGACAACAAAAGAAACACCCGGACACAGCGTTCAGGGGCGCGGCCAGCCACTGTGTCCAGCTCCTTTTCTAAGGGAGAACCCCAACAGTAAACTGTCAATTAAGGATCCCTGTAGCTCCCAGCAGCTCCCTCCACCCCAGCCAGACTATTCGTTGCATCTCAGCTGCAGGAGGCGGTGTCTCCGTTGCCTTTGCCGTGCCGGCACGACGAGCACCTGCCGTGCCACGGTCGCCGACCGCGACAGAGCTGTCATGGCGTGCGACCGTGTGCTCCTGCCTTTGGCCCGGCTGCCCCTGAGCACAGGGTGAGACAAAGACATTGCAGGATGAGCAAACTCTTTACCTCTTTCAAAGGCCAACTTGAATGTATCTAGTTGACCCCGGATGAAATGATAAATTGCCCCATCAACGACCCCTGATTTGGTCCGTTACAAACAACAAAAACAATTTCAAGTCAGTCTCGATTCCCCTCCTCTTCCCTCCTTCGTTGCAAGTGCGACCTGCCGACCTGAGCTACTCCTCGACCTGCCCACCTGCCTCCACGACGTGCCTGTGGCATTAATCTGAGCCTTCAGCTCAGCACCCAGTTCATGAGGGCCATAGCCTCAAGTTGAAAGTCTTCGGGCCCTCGAAGGAGAAAAAGACTCTGATGCTGTAAGAATCTACAAGTGGCCGAAAGCGAAATCACCCAGACCCACTCCGGCATGCTAAACACCAAGCTCAAAAGTCCAAAAAACTTGTGATGAGTTGGCATGTCTTCCCTCCAAGCTGCGACCAATGCGATCAAAAGCTGCCCGTATTCGTGCATCTGCTGGGTCAAGGGCAAAAGCTGCAGAGTAAGCGAAGTAGGCATCCCTGATGGGCAGGCAGGCACGTTTCACATTGAAGGTCAGTCCCTACTCTTCTCCACTCCGCCAGCTGCACCCTAAGCGCCTAAAGCGCTCGAGGGCTTCCAGCGCGCATCCACGCCTGAAGTGTGCCTAGCACTGGTGGATGCACATGAATTGGAAGTGCCCCTTTACGAGCCAAGAATCAGGACCACGTAGAGATGCCCTTGTTAGAAGCTATTAGTAGTAATGCCCTTGTTACTAGTAGCGATGCCCTAGCTACTAGTAGCTAGAACTAGTAGCTTCTAGCTACTACTTTTTGAGATTATATATATATATATACAAAACTTGGTTGAGACGAGGCTTCGTGCCTTGACATTGTCGGGCTCCAGCGCCAAGGCTTCGTTGCTGTACTTCAGCGCAAGGTGCAGCATATGCTTGACCTGACCGTGGAAGCATATCTTCAGTACATGACCCAGCATGCCGGTTCATCTTTGACCCAAGCCACCCAAGGCCAACGGCATTGCAAGGGTGCCACTTTCAGTGCCATCAAAGCCGCATTGCCTGAGATAGGATCTGGTGCAAGTGAGACCTGGTTTCAAGTGATGTCAATCAAGCAACCTCAATAGAACCAGCAAGGCCAGAGGCACGCAAGTCTAGAAATTCAAGATCACACAAACCTACCAAGTCGCATAGAACTGCCACACGGGCGATGTCAGTTTCTTGCAATAGCTCCTGCCAGAGCAGTGGGTCCATCTGTATACCTTTGCCTATGGATACTGAAGCCCTGAACAGCACGGCAGTTGTGGACGTCCTCGTACATCCTTAGCTCTTCATGTTTAGCTGCAGATGTTGGACTCCACAGTCATTGTTCATGTCTGTCGCGGTTATCAACCAAGACTCCGCAGTGCTTTAGCATGCTGTCCGCCTCTTGCGGCAGCATCAGCCAAATCCTCTAGTGCCACCAAATGGACACCAACACCAACCAAAAACTGAAAGAAACAATTCGAGGCTTTTGTATAAGTATAGAGGCTTCACCAGACTATGCTTCAAACGGTGGGGGGCAAAGGAACATTTGTGACAGTAAAAGGACATGTCGAAAAGGGCGTCTCTACAAAATGAATGCCTCTGCATTCTCATACTCTCCTTCTTCTCCTGATGCTTTGCAGGTTCGCAAGGATTCTTGCCTTAGGCCATGAAAAGCTCAGTACGTTGGACGCATGTGGCTACTGGACAAAAGGACATGGCTGGGGTTTCGGACCCTCTTCTCCGGCCGACTCGTCTTGAGCTGGCACAGAGGCCTCTCCATCACACATGGCGGGAAAAAGGGCATACATTCACATACGAGCGTTTCATCACTTAGAAAGGAATTATATAGCAAGAGTCATCTGAAGAGCATTCATCGTTCTATCCATTCACACCTGTCTCAACCCTAGCCGCCATGCTCCGGTGCCTGCATTTTGGCCTCCACAGGCAAAGGATGCAGCGCATGGGTTTCAGAGGGCCACGTCGGTCGCCACGCATTCAGGGCAAACCTGGGCGCCAATCGTGCGTGTGGGGCTCCTTGTGGTGAAGCTGCCTGTTAGAAGCTGATTGAATCTATGGCACACATGTAACACCTACAATGAGTGCCTGGCCGTTTCACATTACACCAACATAGACCCCAGATTGCATCTTGCAAATGCTCATGAGGTGCCAACCAACTTCCAAATGCAATATAAGTAGGGCTGGACCAGCAATGGAAGGTGACGGGATCAAAGAAACGGCTCCAGAGTTAAAAAGATAAAACTGATATCCGGACCTGGGTGGACCTGGGTGGACCTGGAGGATTCAACGGTTTTAAGCGAACAGTTGCGACAGGGTTCCCGGCCAAAAGTTACAATCAAAAGAGTTCCTGTTCGCAGAGTTCCAGGCCTTCCTAGGTTCCAGTTCCTTGCCTTGCGGAAAGTTGAGGTTTTGATCATCAACTCCAAGCAATTGAAGAGACGTACAGTAAGAACTAGAACCCCGCTTCCAGCTATCTGGAGAACCAAAAAACAGCACATAGGTTGCTTTGCGCAAGGGACCTGGCGCTCGGCCTCACAGTGGCACCGTTGCCAGGACTGGGGTCCGCGGTCTGCTGCGGCATCTTCGGCAGCTCGGCGGCAAATGTGCGGCCGAGGTCCAGGGAGGCAGTCAAGGTCTGAAAATGTCAGGTGGCATGTGTCTCAGGATGCAACACACCTACGCTTAAAAAGAAGCCAAGTACAGTACATCATGAAACAGAAATGCAAACACCTTCTTGAGTGATGCCCAGACAAGACTATGCATTCAATTCCAAACCTTCCATGAGACCCTTTGGCCAACGGCCTGCAGGTCTCCAGTCTCTAAAGCATCTTTGCACCGCTGGGCGGCTAGGTGCAAGGCTTCCAATGGCCCATCCGTCATTGCCTGGCCAGTTTCATCCATGCCTTGGACAGCACAAATGTTGGTGATCCAGACTAGGTCGGCTAGCAGGCAGATACTAGAAACTATCCTTTGAGGGTGCTACGCTTGTATATCTTCATGCACTTGAATAGCCCAAGCTCTCAGCCCTGCACATTGCTTCGCGACCGTGAACTGCCGATAGATTAGCTCTTGTCGCTTCTGACGGTCCACTCTGGAGTCCTGCACCGCTGTGTCGGATGTCGTAAGAAAACAGGTCTGAACGAAGCCACGAACCACACAAACGACAATCGTCATGTTCTTCACGTTCGCATGCTGTCCTCGCCATCGCTTTCAGTCTCGCTCATCGACGAAACAGCTTGGCACGACAAATCACTGTTCACCATCCTTCACTCCTGTGCTTCTGTGCTTCGTTCTTGCATTTCCTTCTTCTATGTTTCTCCTCACTTTCACGTAACTAAGCTTGTCGACTCTGAGTGCTCCTAGCTGAGCCCAGATGGCGGAGAACTCAGACGCTGATATGATACTGATATGTTAAACTCAAGAGCAAGAAAAAAGAACATGGATGTATTGAAATGTATTGGATTGGCACCGAAATGCATCTTTCACCCTCTAGATCCATGTGTGTGTGTGTGTGTCGTGTGCCCAGCAATGACGTCGTGGCCTGCGGCTCCGTGCGCCATGACCGAGCCGCTGTCATCAAGAAAATTGGAGGACAGGTGTGCGGAGGAATGGACCCTTCGTTCAAGTGGCCAGTCCGGTGCCTTTCCAGTCAGTAACGATGTGGGGCTTGGTATATTGTTTGGCCGTGTTTATATAATGCTTTCAGCCATCTGACCGAATGCGTGTTTTTGGCTGCAAGCATGAGAGCCGTGGGTCCTTGAATCTTGCTTCTTAGTTACTCTTAGTTGGCTTTTGCCTGCAAACTGTGAGCCTGTAATGGCTGGACGGTGGGAGAGTCGGGAACCAATCTTGGCTTCCTTAGCTTCGTTAAGGAACTGTTTATCACAGCCGCAGTAACCTGATGCAGTCCCATGGTATCCCACGGTCCTGTCTCACTCTCTGCTGAGGAGTGTTGCACGTGCAGCCCGAATAACTCCAACCCTTGAGGGCATCCACTCGGTGAGGGTGCAGATGGCATTGAACTTGAAGCCACCAGCTTTCCTCAAAGCAAGGTTGCAAATCAAGGCTTCAAGCTGCAAAGTAACCATGTGTTTGATCTCAACTTACTCCCTCCCGCTTGTTTAGAGGCGTCCTTCTGCCTGATTCGTGGGGGAGGGGACAACGCAAGTAAATTCTATCCACATGGGCCATGCAGGCTTTATTGCCTGGGTGTGGTTTGGAGGGTGCAACACAATGCCACACCACACTGACACAACCTGTGACTCACTGACCGAGCTGCGTCTTCGTCACAGAAATCTTGGGCCGCTCCTTGTTCAAGCGGATGCCCACGTCATTCAGCTCCTCACAGCTTCCATTGAACTGTGGCTCCAAAAACGTGAAGGAGTGCCAAAAAGTGCTTGGAAACCAAAGACACTGAATGACAGGTTGACTCTCCTTGGTACCACAGCTAAACTTACATTTTTAACAGGCCAGCTTGAGAGAAGTGTTGATGCCATGAAAGCTCCTTTGTGAGCATTTGCCTTTGCGCGTCGTCCTTTGTGGCATCCAGGATCATCAGGATCCTCGGCCACGCGTCTAATTGACGGCTGCGGCGTCTGCTCCGGCTCTCTGCGGCGCGCCAAGGCACATGTCGGCTGATCGGGCTGTGGCGATGACCTGCCTCCCTCGGCCTGAACGAAAGCACAACTCAGAAGCCGGTCCTGATCAGTGCTGAAACTGACCATGTCCGGCTGTGAGCTCCTTTTTTTTTCTGCACAACTGACTCTGTGCACCCAGGCAGCTTTGGCCTGGTGGAATATGCTTGAAGGCTTGAAGGTTTTTCGACTGTCTTTGAGCCGCCGTCCGACATGCTTGTCGACTTTCTTAGAGCCGTCCAGTCAAATCTCAACCCGTGAGCAATGGCACGAATAGAGTGCTCGTGGCTATACAAATACGGAAGTGGCCCCAAGCAAAGCCGCATGAATGAGCCTCCGGGCAAGATGCAAACATAAACTTTGTACTGGATCTACCACTGAGCTCAAAAGCAACGGATAAAAGTACTGTGAAGCTGGGCTCCTGATTCAACGGGTGCCAAGTAAAGACTCAGGAAAAACCAAACAGAACGCAAACTTGGATATAACTTGGATATAACAAGAACGGGTGCTGCTTCTCTCGAACGAACATCTGACGAGCCTCTGTCCGTATATATGCGCTTGCAAAGGCACAGTGATACCTTACACCAGCACAGGGCATTCGCGGGGCCCAGAAACGACGCCCGCAGTATAGCTCCTGAGCAAGTGGAAGAAGGTTGTATTTAGATGTACTGTACTTAGCACATCGTTCTGGACGCAAGCAGGTGTATCGAGTCAGCCTTTCAAGGAACTCTTGACATGCTGAAGGATGAGGCTGCCAAGCGAACAAAAGCACGCTTAAAGTATGGAACATGTGTGAGAGAAACTTGGGACAAGACAGCTGGGTGTGAAGGCTTGTTTGGGCCAAAGCTTGCCAGCCAACTCCCATCCTGGTCGCTCCAGACCCCACCAGGTGACAGCTTTGGTCCAAACCTCGGAAAATCTGCACCAATTTGAACATACTCGCCCCATGTGACTCCGCCTGTTTCAACCTCCGTGAACCTAGCACAACCCACTGCAACCGCGTGACTATGGAAGGAGAAGCGATCACAAAGCTTGCCAAATTTCCTGAGATGCAGGACTGCTCAAGCCCGTCAGTGGGATCCGAAACCGACAGCCAACAAAGCAAGTGCCTGGTTGCACTGATGCAAGTGTTAACAACTTTGCTATGATATCGATATCGATATCGATACCAGCACATGGGATATGATGTGCAACTTGCATTACAGGGGCACCTACAATGTCCGAATCGTGCAAACAAGATTCTGGCAGTGCTTCTGACACTGTAAAGAATCAGCCTGACAAGGCCCATGTGCCACTCTGTAATGACCCTACCACAGGCCTGCCTGCCAGCCGGACTCTATCAAAATGCCTGTAAAGTCCACCCCAGCCT